ACTGACATAATATGCCAAAGCCTGATTGCATTCAAAAAGGTCTTGGACAAAATCTAGAGATTCTGCTACATATTGACATGATAGCATCACACAGTTGCTGCAGATTTATTAGCTGCTTATCCCAAATTCCCTTTCAAGTACGTACCAAGAGTGCTCTGCCAGATTGAGGTCTGTGGAGGACACTGGTACAAAGTATTTTTCCAGTCTTCTGTTGTCCAGTGTTGGTGAACCTGTGTGAATTTTAGTCTCAGTTTCCTGTTCTTAGCTGGCAGGTGTGGTCCCCACTGTGGTCTTCTGCTGCTGTACCTCATCTACTTCAGATGTGTTGTGCTTTCATAGATGTTTTTCTGCATACATGTTTGCAACGAGTGGTTGAGTCATTGTTGCCTTCATACCACCTCAAAGAAGTCTTGCAAGTGTTCTCTGACCTCCAGCACAGAGATGGGCTCTACAGCTGCCCTCAAGTGGCCTTTTAGGAAATTGAATTCTGTGTGAACTTTGTTTTTAAACTCTGCAGGCTGGTGCTTGGTATATTGCATCGTTTAACTTCTATCTTGGTTTAAATATTAGTGAATTTTTTCAGTTGAAGAATTTAGTTTTATTTTTGCAGGATTTCAGTCAGGAATTTAAGAAGTTTCCAAATGCCTCAGGCAATTCACGTTCAACAAAAGGTGAATGCACATAATATTGTTTGTTTTTAATTTTTTATCACAACTTTTGCAAACATTTCAAATGTTTTTTTTTCAATTGTTGATGCCAGGAGGCCCCTTCTCTAAACTCACCTCGAACTCAGATATGCATGAGACAAAAATGGGAAATGTGACTATACAGGTAGTCACAGGAGACATAACCAAGGAGACAACAGATATCATTGTCAACTCTTCCAATGAAAGCTTTTCACTTAAGTCAGGTAAATCATAGAAAAAAGTGGAATATTCAAGTTTTGAAAAATATTTATAGTTATATGTAATTCTCTCCTCACTACTGCACAGTGGACATAGCAGTCAACAGAAGAATTAAGCATCTTATTAAATTAAGTATTAAATTACACAAAAGATGAATCCACCTACAGTAATCATTATCTTTCATTTTTATTATGTGTATAATTTTTCCACTTTATCCAGGAGTCTCTAAAGCTATTCTAGATGCAGCTGGTAAGGCTGTTGAAGTGGAATGCCATAACTTCAGTAAGAAATCACTTTAACTTTTAGATTTTATGACACTGTAACTCAGAGTAGACTCAACCTACAGTATAACAGTTTTTTTAAACAATAAAAATGAAGCTGACTTAATAGAAAGCCCAATTTTGTAATCATACTCTAAGATTGCCAATAAAGGAAATATGGCCTAAATAAGCATTCTCATGGTCATTAAGGGTAAAAGACATAAAGATCCACTATCTCCACATTTAGGTGCCAAGTCCAATCCAGGCATGATAATGACTCAGCCAGGTAACCTAAAGTGTAAGAAGATCCTTCACGTGGTTGGAGATTCTGACCCAGTAAAAATCAACAAGGTTGTGCAAGATGCACTTCAGATGTGTGTGAAAAGCTCCTACACCTCTGTATCATTTCCTGCAATTGGCACAGGTGAGATTTATTCATGTATGTCATGTAAGTTCATGATATGGGAAATCTACATACCATAGTTACGTTAAGCTTATACCAGAGACTTGTATTATGAAAGAGGTTATGCTTCAGATTAGAGATCAACAGACATAAAATCACCACCTACTGACCAGTCAATTCTCTGCACAATAGCAATTAAAACAATTACTTTATAAGTATTAATGCGTGATCCTAAAACTGGACATGAATTTGCACTAGTTAACTTTATGTCAAATTTGCACATAGTCAAAGCCGGATCTTTACTTACTGTCAAAGCTTTAAACACCAACACCATACATGCAGCTGAAGGAACCTCTGAACTGAAAAACTATCGTCAGAAAGTATAGTTGTGGACAAATAGTATGTTTACACATGAAGCAAACTTTTCACTGATAGTAACTCAAAAATGTAAGACCAGAGTGACCAGTCTGTGCACTGCCTGTGTTAACTAAAAGAAAGACTACAACTCATGGCCTCACACACAGATCTTGGAATGCCTAGAACAATAC